CTCTGAGTACTTCTTGATACCTATCAGAATGGCTCGCACTCCTATACGCTCTACACCATCACTGATACCATCACAGCACTGATAGCGTCTAGACAGACACTCGCTTTGAGAAGAGAACGAGAGAGGCTGTATTATCGATTCGTTCGAGAGAAGTACACGTCGATTCTCCCAGGTGGGAAGCCGTAGTTGATGGGAGTGGCAGAGGAGAAGGAAAGGGGGGAAGCAATACTAGTACCTTCTCTCACTGCATCCGATTTGAGGACGTCTACGTACGTGAAATCAGTGAGGCCTTCAGCGCTGAGGACGGCACACTGAGAAGGTCAGGAATAGACGTGAGCACGGCACAGACAGAGATTGCTATTTACCACTGCTTTGGAAAAACCACACTTGGGCGCTGCTGGTGAACCCTTCATGAAAAGAACAACTCGGTTGTCGTGGATGAGCTTGCTGATTTTCCCGTGGACCTGCAAGGCCGTGTCATTTGAATGCAAACCTGATAGAAGCGCTCTCTACGTCCTCGGTGGGAACCTTCGACTTGGGCGCGAAGTCCTGAGGAAGGAAGAGGTATGATGGGGAATCGCCTAGTGAAGCGAAGTGGGCCGATGAAGGACGGCTACGAGTAATGGATGGCAGAGTGGCGTCCAGCTTACGGGGTCGCTGTCGTCAGCGGTTGTTGCAGCAGTAGTGAAGGCCCTCGCCCGGTTGAATCTGGGATTGGGCACGAAGTTTGGTGTGACCGTCGAAGTAGCGATGGTGGTTGCTCTGAAGAGGGCAGTAGTGGTGGGGATGAGTCGACGGGTGGTGGAGAGCATTGTGGTAAGTGACGGCGTTCGAATGTGGATGCTTCAATACGAACGACAGTCACACTCTGTTTACATGGTAGGAGATAGCTGATGGATCGTTGCACAAAAAGAATCGATAGAGAATTACAGTGAAGGGTATTCATTGCATACAAGAGTGGTTGAGGTTATACGGCGATACCACGGTGTGCAGCCAGTTTGTATCTTAGATCTGATGGACTTCTGACAGGGGACTGTGAGCTAATCACCATATTTTAATTCTGAATAGTCAAGCAGGTTAGAGTGTCTGGTTATGGTGCCATGCTCCCTGGTTCGATTCTTGGCGTAATCATCTTTGATTTTACTGGTTAGGCACAGTCGATCGTAGGTGTGGAAATGTGTTTAGCCATCGGATGCCCTTAGTAGCTCGGTGGAACGTTCCGGCCCCCGACTCGGGGTCTCCGAGTCCTCTCTGTGCAGTGCGTTTCACAACTTTAGTTCGTGTTTGTTCGAGGGCTCCTGCTAGTCCGTTTCTCAGTGTGCGCGATACTGTGTTAATCACTCAGAGCGTTTCTAAATGGACATGTTGTCTTCCACCGACTTTACCGTAAGAGCAGTTGAACCACCATCCTTACAGTACGTCGTCCTCTCCCATCGTTTGTCGCTCACATCCGGTTCTCTCAGCCCAGCCGCCCGGCGTGCCTCTCACCCGCCTTCCCCCCGTTACATCGGCAGGCGGAAGATCAGTGCGTGCAGCGGCCGTGCTCGCCTAGCGACCGTACCCGAGACCAGTCAAGTCGTCATGCCCGATGTGCGCACTCCGATCATCTACGATGATGATGATGACTGGTAAGGCAACGAGAACTTATTTATCGTTTTATTAATCTCCCCCTTCCTTCAGCCTCGTGAATGCGTCTGACATTCGTGACATGGTTCGAAGGTGCATGGTAAGACGAGGGTCACCATTTCGACTCAATCTAGTGTTAGTTGGCAGGTGCGAGCGTGCATTCAGGTCACATCTAGATAAAATAGCAGATACTGTACTTTTTCAACATCCCCCCTCTGTGGAGACCCTTCCCATTCGCTGAATGGTTGTTATTATTCGGTAGCCTTATTTTTTTGGTTCTATAGGAGGACACATCGCCTGGCTCTCGCGAGAGCCCCCGCTTTTCTCCATCCCATCGCGTTGCTAAGGCGTTCATCCTATTCTGTATCTTACGGTCTGTATATAGGAAGACTCAAGATGCTCACATTCTCGTGCCGTCTGTTTGCTATGAACTGTACTAGGAGATAGTTCATCCAAGTACTTCTACCGCATTCCCTTTGTGAATATTGCTACTACTGCTATCACCAAGACACCCTCACATTCAGCATTGTAATCTACTCGTCGTGGTATAGGTACTGTCACACCTCCTTTTTTGAGTTTGATGCTCATCACAATCATCCGCATAGTAGAAGTGTTTATCGTATACTCGTTTGCTATTGTACATATTAGTCCGAACGACTATGCCACAATAGATTCTGGTCCCTTATTTCGTGAGTTCAACTTTGGAAGCATGTCCTGGTTGACTAAAGCGACCATTGGTCATCACTTGCTGTATACTATCATTTCGATCTTTGTTGAAGGCGTGTAAGGAAGGACAGGATATTGTCCGTCTTGATAGTTTCCTATTATGGAAGATACATAACTGTTCTTCATCATTATCTATATTCTGACATTCGCATAGTAAGTCAGGACGGAAGATCTCATCCTTTCCTGTTGTGGGTTGTGAAGGGCGTCTCCTATCTGATCCTAAGAGTGTTGTGTTAATGCATTGACCCGTATGGACTGGTAGGTCTGGATAGTTATTGAGGAGGATCATCATTCTCTATATATTTAGTCCAGGCTGTGAGGGTTGAACCTGGGTCGGCTGGTCAGAAGAATAACAAGTAGACGTGCTGATCTATCTCATTAGGGGTTGTTTTAGGTTTGTTTGATTTGTACCCCGTTTGATTACTCGGCTGCTGCATCGAGTAGTAGGAGTTATTATCAAGTATGGGGTGTGCTGCTAGTCTTATATGTGTAGAGGTTCATGAAGATGAAGATGGAAGTGAAAAACATCATACCAACCCTAGTACTACTGTCCCTGTGCTATGAGGAGTATAAAGTAGTTGATGACAGGCTATCCCAAGAAGATTCTCATACGAGCTTGCCCTTCTTCGAGGAGATGTTGTCGAACTTGTTACTCTTCCCCTGTTGGTTCGTACTACAGTGTCGGTACTAAGAGTGATCTGCTTCCCAACAGTAGCCATCTGTCGTTGTTGTTGCAGGAAGTACTATCTGTGGTGGCGATGTTCAAAAGCCTCATACCTGCACAAAGCCACCTCTCTATGGTGGATCGATGTACCATACTCAACAACAAGATCAACAGCAGCAGCAGCAACCAGGCCGATATGGCAGACGGTAGTAGGAGGGGTAGTCCCCCTTAGGATAATAGACCACTCTTACTACAGCATTTCCAGGTCAATTTAATCTTTTGAAAAATGCACATTTTCTTGATTTTTCCACACAGAATTTGAATAGAATGGCTGGTAATATCCTCTGATTGGATCCTCATATGGTGAGGATGCCAGACGGTGCTATCATGAGAACAATATTCTTATTGTTACTACCAAACTCGACCATCGGAGAGTCTATTCACTATACAATGAGTACAATCGCGGGTTATAAGGGCTTTTAGTGGCACAACCACACAGATGGACAATTCACTGCCTCTCTGAGGAGATCTGCAGTGTGTATCTCAGAAACGATCTCAGAACTGAGACATTCTCGATTCTGCATGTGTTTCGTGGTTGCAGCTTT